TTGACCGACTTCCTAAAAGACGGAGGTAATCAATTCGTCTGTATATTTTTTTTTGTAGTCAAAAAATGTCCCTCTAACTTTACAATAAACATAAATAGCAATTATTGCGTTATCAGCTAACGCTAAAAATAACCGTTATAATTATAGCTGATAACGTAACTGCTTTGCTTAACAGTGAAACAGTGATACAGTTTAATACGGCTAATTAAAAGTTACGTAACACTTTATAGAGTAGAAAGAGAAAGTAACTAATGATAATAAATTAAACACCTTCTGTGGTTATAAAAAATATGCAAAGCCCTAATTTTTTTTAAAAAAACATGACCGATTACATTTTTTTTGTAATTCTTGTCTTAGAAATGTGTAAAACATCCATACAAAACATATTTTTAACTGATTAACTAAAGAATTTACTCAGATATGTTATAAATAATCAGCAGTGAAAATCCACGTCAAAAATAATGGGGCCACGTCAGGATGTTTAGAACCGTAGACGTATACTTAAAAAAATACAATGAGTGATAAACAAAAACCCATTCGGCCACAACCTTGAAAACATTCTGTACTGGCAACAAAAACTGTTCGCTAATATGACAACGGCGATATTACTGTAATTACATAATGCTAGTTTCACACGAGGGTAGAAAGTGACAGAATAGTACGTCAAAACTGAACAATACATTTTGAGAGTTTGTGTTAGTTCAATGGCAGTATTGCACTGTCTACTGCTATGCGTTACCGTGCTGCCCTCGTGAGAAACTAACATTAACAACATTAACGTGTGATGTGTTTATGCAATATTGATAATTATTACTAAAACTATAAGATTGGTAATATCATGGCAAGTGACTTAATTATACGATAAGGTCTAGAATTAGGAAAAATGTGTAGTCATTTCGCTGATATTGGACAATATTTACCTGATACTGAGTTGATATTACTGATAATTCAATTGTTTTTTGAATATCGACACAATAAAAACTTCAATTTCGGTCTTTTATTCCTATGATCTCCCGAGATACATGAACATTTAGATAAAAAGTGATTCATTTTAAAAAAAAGTAGGGTAGAAAATTAAGAAAAAAATACGCAAAGCGTACTTCATACTAATATTATAAATGAAATGGATGGATGTTTGTTAGAGTTTGTAGCCTAAACGGCTAAACGGATTTCGATTAAAATTGGTATAAATGTAGATGATAGTCTGAAAGAACACATAGGCTATTCACTTCAGTTTTTTTAATTTCACGCGGACGGGGTCGCGGACGAAAGCTAGTACTACATAATTTTTTACATAATGGTTTCTTCGAAGCAGAACATAAATCCTGTTTAAGTCACTGGGCTGGCAGTGAAAGTTTATCGGTTATGTTGTTGCCCAATCGCTCCGAAAGCTCAAGGGATACCAAAGTTGCCGACACATGTTACGTTGTCAGATAATAGTTTTGTACCTTGATACAGCTGCCGGCAATGTTAGGGACAAACAGCTTTTTGAATAACCCTTAATGCGTTTGTGTTTATAATAACACGTGTTTGCAACTCTTACTTTTCATGTGAAATATGAGTTAAAAAGACACGTTTCTTAAGCACTTTAAAATAACTAGACTGAACATCTATTCTAACAAGATTTGTATGGGATAAATTGTTGAAAACATTTTATATTGTAAAAAGTAAGTTGCAACGATGGTCAGTGGAATGCAACCTTAAGCCGCGGTAGGGGGGCAATTAAACAATTATTATACCATGCAAGATAACCTCGCGAGTTACCTTGTAAGGTAACGTAGGAAATAACAATCGTACTTCAAAAAAAATTCTTGAAAACTCGAGTACCTGATGTTACAGCAACAAGAATAAACCAAGAATTACAGATCATGCGAAGTAAACTAAATAAATGGGCATTGTTAGATGTATTTTATACTAGTTTTCGCCCGCGACTACGTCCGCGAGGATTAAAAAAAGAAATTAAGGGTAAATAGATTTGGCAGAGGATAAAATAAAGGCAAATAGTTCCTCTGTTTGTCCTCTCTTCCGTCCGTTTAAGGGAACCTTTCGCTATTTCGGTGTAACCAGCTGGCCGCTTTTTTTTAAATAACATAAGGTGGCAAACGAGCAAGCGGCCACCTGAATCCGCCAAAATGACGAAGCGACCGCTG